TGTTGATAATTTGTAGTTAAACCACACAGAAGATCATTACTCACGTAACTTTGTTTTGGCCCCCCAGTGGCACAGCAGTATGTCTGCGGACTTACAACGCTAGAAACCGGGTTTCGATACCCGTGATGGGCAGAGCACAGATAGTCAATTGTGTAGCTTTGTGCTTAACTTCAAACAAACAAAGTATTTGTTTGTTTGTTTTTATAACACGTTCAGCTAATTATGTAATAAAACTGCCAACAAGATCACTGAACAATGGATATTTTTTTTACGTCAATCTTAATGAAGATGCTCACAAATTACACTTAAGATCTAATTTTTCATTCAGATTTAAAGTTACCATCAGTAGTTACAATGACGCATAGCACTTATGGAAACACGTTTCATTATTTCTGATGCAAGTACCCGATAGAAAATAGTAATGCAGCATTTAATGGGAGGGATATCAATAACAAGTATAAATTTTCTTATTGTTTTCAGGTGTTCGCGCCAAACTACTTAATGGCTATCTGTCCCTAATTTTGAACTGACACACTAGAAGAAAGGCTACTAGTCAACAGCACCCACCGAAAAATGGGATTTGGCTGTCACCCTTATAACGCATACACGTTCCCGAAATGATGAGAGTTATTTTGTTTTTCTTCGGTAACGGAACGCAAGCCTTAGACCTCCAGATTACCGATAACCACTGAGCCACATTCGGTCCGAATTTTCTCAAGTATTCCCCGGAAACATTTTAAGGTTTCCTGTATTTGCGGATTAATAGGTCACGCGCCTTAAATTAATAGAATATTTCATTGCAATAAGAGAAATAATAATAATAAATATTATGCTACTGTCATTGGTTGTACGTAATGCTCAACCAAAAAATTAAGAAATAATAATAAAATTAAATTTTGTTGAAATTAAAAAATGAAAATGTGAGTAGTTAATATGTATAAAACGATTTTCAATGTTAAAGCTATCCCCTATTGTCGGTATGTTTTGAATTAATACACTCTTGGTCACTGGGTGTTCATGTTCATTAAATAGGTAAAACGACGCCTTTAGATATGCTGAAGTGTAAACCTTGACAATGTGTACCTGCCGTACTTTAGGCACGTCTTTCTGTTTCATGTATATATGGGTAACACACTGATTCAACAATGTGTAACTCTCTCTTGTATCTGTAGGTGGCTGTCTCGCTCTCAGTATTTTACACAATTCGGCAAACGTATTTGACACAAAGTTATGTTCTTGATCACAATAAGTTCACTGTCAAATCATACCCCAAGACAAACTCATTGACCAACTTCAGCATCATGTTTAAGGTCGAAATGCTTTTTTTTATCAATTAAAGTAGTCCACAACTACCATGACGTTTTAGTAAATCAACATTTCACTGTAGTCCTGCATTCAATACTTTTCCAAAAAATTTCTAACACAGAAATTGTACGGTTGACTATACTTTTTTGCACTTTTTCCATATTTTTCTTAACACCAAAGCGCCTTGATGTTGAAAAAGCATAGAAATGGAGATGTGTTTTTAACTGGTGCAATACTGGTTGTGCAAAATGTTCCTTGTGGCCTTTTGTTCTCAACATCTTCTGATCAGGATGTTATTTCATACATAAAATAAATACCACTGTGACCAATGGATCTTAGATTATAATCTATCATAAAGATGGTATTTCTGATTCACTTTAAGTCTGCTTAATGGTAGAACTAATACTAAATCATTTATTCTAAACATCCTAAAGATGTGGCCTATATTATATAAATTTATCAGAGCAAAAACTTTGTATAGGTCACTGGTTAGACCACATTTAAAGTACTGTGTTTGGTCATGTGGTCCTTATCTTAGGAGGGACATTGAATTGTTGGAAAGGGTTCAGAGAAGGGCTACTGAAATGGTGCCTGGGATGAAGAGGTTGTCATTTGTCAGAGAGGATTTATTTGAGGTATTTAAAATTATAAAGGGAATTAATAGTGTTGATGCATTATCTTTTTTCATACTTAAAGGTGAGAATGGTAGGACTATGGTACATAAATATAAATTTTGGCAGGGTAGGATACATCTTCAGCTAAAACAGTTATTTTTCTAACATGATGATTGGCCTTTGGATGTTGTGGAGGCAGTAAATTTAAGTGAGTTTATGAGAAAACTTGATAACGATATAAATGATAAGGGCTGGCTTTAATATTTTTTTAATAGTTTTACCTTAGAGTAAAGGATGGGACAGCTGAGAGGGACACCAACAGGTCCATTGTTATTTCTAAACATTATGTTATATTATCTTCAGTTGTCTTACCATAGGCAGATCCTGATGATTTTTCTGTGAGTGAGGCAGTCATCTTTCACAATGGTAATTTCATATCCAAGATGCACTCTTATTTAATAATTCATTCATACATCACATTGAGCATGTTCAGAAAGAACAGTATAACCGACCCTTTGCTTTGGCTAGGATTGACCCTTAACATCACTTGCAGTTTACATCAGGTTATC